AACACTGCCAGGGATGGGGCAGCCACAGCTTCTCTGGGCAACCTGTGCCAGCGCCTCAGCACCCTCACAGGGAAGAATTTTTTCCTAATGTCTAATCTAAATCTCCCCTCTTTCAGATTAAAGCCATTCCCCCTTGTCCTGTCTCTACATGCCCTTGTAGAAAGCTCCTCTCCAGATTTCTAGTAGGCCCCCTTTAGGCACTGGAAGCTGCTCTCAGATCTCCCCAGAACCTTCTCGTTTCCAGGCTGAATAAACCCAACTCTCTCAGCCTGTCTCCACAGGAGAGGTGCTGCAGCCCTCTGACTGTCCTGAGCATGTCCTTCTTATGTTGGGGCCCCCAGAGCTGCAGCGGGGGTTCTCCATGTGATCGGTTTGTAGCCCGGTGCCCTGTGTTCAGTTCAACGCAGGTTTTCCTGCTGCACTTTAGCCCTGGGGTCTGCAGCGAGGTGACCTCCATTCCCGTAGCTGCCCTGTGAGCTGCAGCATTCGGGCTCTGCCAGCACCGGTCTCTGCTCTGGGTACCTGGCAAAAGGCAGCCTGGGTTTGGCTTTTCACATCCATTAACCACATCCCCCATTTATACAGCAAAGTAAAACTGATGCTGCAGAGATGGTAAAAGGAAAGGTAAATTTCATCTGTGTTTATGTTTGATAACAGGGAGGAGGAAAAAAAAAACAGTTTCTAGGGGGTGTTATTTAAAATACATTTTATTTTTTTTTTACTAGGATGATGACAACAGTGCACCTTCTGCTCCTGATCCCCCAAGTCTTCTCGTGCATGAACGGGGAACGGGTTTCTGCTTTGATTCCAGGTAAATGTTATCCTTGTGTTTAATGGCATGGGTGGGCTCCTCCGTAACTGGATCCTTTTTGTTTTGCTCAATGGAGGGGATGGAGATGAAAAACATTTTCAATGCACATTTGGGTTACAACTATCAGAGAATATGCTGTGAGGCTGCTTGTGCTGTACCTTGTTTTGACAGAATTTAGGTAACTTCTGTAGTAAATGAATGAATAACTTCTGTTTCTTTCCAACCTAATTGTGAACCCAAGTTTAGAGCTTTTATAAAGTGTTATGTTTGCTAAGAGCGAGCATTTATGGGCAGGGAGAGTGGTTTCCCATGAAACTGCTTGGCCACTAAGACATTCAATAGATTTGTATTCAGCAGTAGCTGGAATTGGGTCAAAATTGTGTCGCTTTTAAAATGCCAGGTTATTCTGGAATTCCTGTGTAAAACTACTGGAACTGCACGGAGGACTTTCAGCAAAGACATTTAACTTAACAGTGTGATACTTGCTTAGGTACAAAGTCTGCTCAAATGCAGGATTCTAGTAAAGCTCTTCACGTTGGCAGCAGCAGGATCCTGCTTCTGTGTTTTATTTTGCAGTAACAGATGAAGTAACCGTGTCCTTTTCTCCCTCCGCCTCCCCGCGCAGCTTTCACGTCCACAAGAAGTGCCCTCTCTGTGATGTGATGTTTCCACCCAACTACGACCAGAGCAAGTTCGAGGAACACGTGGAGAGCCACTGGAAGGTGTGCCCCATGTGCAGCGAGCAGTTCCCACCTGACTACGACCAGCAGGGCTTCGAGCGGCACGTCCAGACGCACTTCGATCAGAACGTACTGAATTTCGACTAAATACTCGTGTTTTGCAGTGTAGCTTTAACACCCCCCACCCCCCCCGCCCCGAGTAGTCCATCTATGGAGCAAAACCAGTGCAGCTTTTCTGTAACAGGGCAAACGTCTGAGTCAAAGCAGATAGATAGATACACTCTAAGGGGAGCTGGGATAGATGGGGGCTGTGAGCTGCTGTTGGGGTATCTTCTCTCTCTACCTAACACAATACTAAATAACCCCACACCCCCCCATGTTTTGTCTGTAGCTCTTTATTCCCCTATTTAGCAGAGTTTGTAACGACACGGGAATGATTTAGCCTCAGAAAAAACGAGACTGGCTTCATGATGCTCTTCAGCTCAGTAAAAAAAATAGTCACCAAACTGTCAGTGGTTTCTTTTGACCATGGTAACTGAAGCACCATTAGAAATGGAATTAACGGATATTTCTCCTAGCAAATCTGTGTAGTTCTATTTTGAGTAACAGGTAAATCAGAAAGTTCCGTGACCTACCCTACCAAAATACAGTTTTCTAGTACATTTCTGAAGCGTAGGTGCATGTACTGTGAGGTGACATGCTTGCAACAAAAGGAATGGCAAATGCTTCAGGTCTACATAGAGAATGTTTGCCCTAAGGGATAACATTCAATTTTTACCTTAGGGCAGTATTTTGAGTTGGAAGAAATGGCTGTGCTTAAATGCCTACAAGTAACTGTTTAATAAAAGTCATTGCCATTACAGTGCAGCTGCTTTCGGTAGAAAATATCGTTCTGTTTTCATCACAGTGACTTGTGTTCCTTTTGGCTTAGGGCTTTTAAACCCTCCTGCGTTTTAACTTCATGTATTTCTTTCCAGGAAGTAAACCCATGTGTGTATATCTCAACATTTTATATTTACTTTAACTGTATTAAGTAAATTTGCTTTCCACTTGTTGTACAGTAGTCTTGTTACATTAAAAGCAAAATTAATTCATGGAGGTGGCAGTCCCTTTTTTTTTTTACCCTGCTGCTTGTTTTGAAATGAATTGGGGGTTTGGGATGTACGTACCTGCAGTAAATGGTGTGTCAGCTTTGCATGGCAAAGGAACTGTTGCTTGTGTCTATTTATGTTCTTTATTTGAGAGACTCGGGGATGGAGGCTTTGTGTAGGATCTGTTGCCTGCAGTGCTTCTGTGGACACGTGCAATATCCTGCTCAATTTAGGGGCTATTGGAAACTGCCTGACATGGATAAAACACATCAATGAATGATGGATAAATAGTGTCTCGAGCAGCAGCTACTGCGTCGCTCCTCCTGTCCCATGGTAGTAAGCCTTAGAGGTTTGTAACTAACTGTGAACTTCATGTCAAAGAACACTCTGTGAGTTAAGGTGTGGAGGGACATTCATCAGGGTTGTTTTTTTTACTGTAACTCAGCAGTATATGGAAGCAGTCGGAACAGGCTCTAAACCCAAAATACTGTTAATCATCGTATTATTAAAGACTTTAGGAAGTCTCAGGTTGGTGTCCCTCATGGGCAGGGCAGCCTCAAAACTGGGCTGTGCCGAAGCGGGGCCTTCTCTTAGATATCTCTGTGTGTGTGTGTGTGCGTGTACAGGGAGTTACTTCAAGAGCTTCCCTGTGAAACAGCTGCCCTGATGTGGCTGCTTGCAGTGACTTACCCAGGGAGGCTGCGGGTATGTGGCAGAAGCCAAATGCCTCTGGCCCCGCCTCCCCCAGCTACAGTGTTAACGATTCTCCCTTCACAGCAATAGCCACTTCGTTGGTTATGAACCTCCAGGAGAAAGGCAGCCTGTATCCCTGCCCTTGGAAGGCGGCTTGTGGCATCCCTACACACTCTCCCAGGTAACCAAGGCCCTGCTGCTGTTCAGTGCTACCAAAGCAAAATACACAGGTAAAAGACTGTACACAGCCCAAGAACTTAACTCTTCGGTGACGCTAGTAACGAGTGCAGAGCAGGCGTCTTAGGTCAGAGGCAGTTTATTTTAAATGTGATTTGATTTACATTTATAAGCAGCTTTCCTGACAGGAATTCTTTAAGTTGCCTTCAGTTCTAAAACAAACCTCTGTCACTTTCAAACTTAAAGTACTTTGTCCCCAACAAAACATATGAAAATATAATTTAAAGCACACTTTTCACAGACACGGTACAATACATTCACTATACACAGTATAACAAAATAGTCCCATCTTTACCTGTTTAATAATACTGTCACAATGAGTAGGTAAATAGAAACTGGAATTTTGTTTTATAGTCAAAAGGAATTTACATGCAACAAGGACATTTTACGACTGTTTAGCTGTTGGAGGAACTTAACCCAGCCTGTGTATTCTTGCACCAGGAGCAGAGCTGAGGCCGAGCTGTTGGCCAGAGCTGTGGAAGGTGGAAGCAGCTGCCCAGGGCCTCACGTGTCTGGATCACCCCTTGAACATGTCTGACAGCCGTGCACGATGCACCCACAGTCACCTCTCCAGGGTTTGACAAAGCGATGCTCTGTTTCAATTAGGGTGTTCCACATGCTTGGGCATTAGGCTGATTCCAAAGTGTTACAATGAGACACTTAGTCTGCAGGAGAAGAGGTAATTGTCATCCTGACAAAGTTTTCATTTAACTTTGGGGAAAAAAATGGAGGGAAAGCTCCTTCCTCCTCCACTTGAGCTTGTGTTTGCACTTAACAGGAACTGAGCAAAGGCAATCCCTGTGGTAAATGCCATGAGCTGGGCCTGGTCCGTGCTGGGGGTGCCCACTTGAGCTCCAGGGCAGCAGGAACCACGCATGTGAGAGCGGAATATTTGGGGCAGGCTGGTGAGCAGCACGTGCTCAGGTGCGGTCCAGACATGAAGCGCTCACCCATTGGCTTTTGTTTTAAGTCAGTCTCTGACCACCTGCTGCAAGAAGCACTTAATCTTCAGTAAGGCTCATACGTCATAGTTCAGCAAAATAACAGTAAAGCTAAACAGACACTTCCAACGGGAATGCAGTGACCTACGATGAGAAGCAAAAAGAAAAAACCACACAAAGAAAATCTCGAACACAATGAGGATGAGGGAGCAGCTTTAGGAACTCCCTTGCACAAGTAATGGACCTCCTTAAACCAGGCGTAGGCTTTGTAATTTTTATTTGCAACCACAGGCACATGCTCGTACAGTAGCTGCAAGAATTGGCAACACATAAAACATTAAATCTGTTGGCAATAGAGAACTACAAAGTGCTTTAAAACTTCATCTGTGATGAAGATAATTGTTTCTCACACACACATAAATTTGCACTTAAGTATTTCCAAGTGTCTTTCTAACAGTTAGATAGTTCAGGGGTAAGTATTTCATTGGACTGGGATATTGGTCCTCAAAAGTTGGATGGGCATGAACGTAAGATGAATCTTGTACAAAAGAAAAGGAGCAATTTCTAACACTAAAGCGATTGTTTACTAGTTGGAATGGCAAAGGGTGTCAGCACTTCAAGAGGGAGAAAAGAAAAGAGATTTGCAAGATAATATAAAATACAGCAAGCACACCTTTGTATGTATGTTATTTAAGTATGAAAATATTTTTAGCATATTATGTTAAACATTCTTTCTTATTTATATTCCCGTTACCTAAAAGACTTGCTACTCCACGCTAGCTCCGTTACGTAAGGCATGTTAGCGCTAGTCTGACGCGGGCGGTGTCAGTTTGGTTTTGCACGCATTGGAAGTCTCTGTCATGGTACAATCTCCAACAGGTGCCAGTGCCAAGCTCCCCTCCCCTCCTCCTGCGCCGATTCCCGCCTCAGGACAACTCAGTAGGCAACCCACCCCCCTTCCTCTGGGTTTTGTTTTGGAGAAAAGTGTTCTGGAGAACCTCTAGCTTTGATAGCACCTTATCTCAAAGTAATGAACATGGGTATGATGATTACATGTGCAAATGTACAAAATCATTAACTCTACAAAGATACATCATTCCAAAATTACAGAAAATTTTAAAGCATGCATTTAATTTTTGTTTTTGAAAGGGTTGCTGAATGCTTCCCCTGAAAAAGGTGGCTGTTCTCAAAATCAGCAACTGCTGGTGAGGATTTCTTGGCACGTTTGTGACCAGCATGTTATTGCTGCATCTTCCTGATAATCTCAGCAGACACGGGGGGATGGAAATTGATTGTGTGGTGCCGCAGGCCCTGAGCTGTCTTGTAACTCTTTCCGCAGCGACACTTGAATGGTTTGCGTACGCGGATTTGTGTTCTGTGGCCATTCTTGGCATGGTACTTGATACCATTCACATTCTGTGAGCGAGAAGGGAAAACGTTACTGGTCAAAGCGTCAGGGAATGGCTGAGCTTCCACTTAAAAACTGGTTAATGTCACAGGCAACATCATACAAACAGCTCGGAACTCCCGCCGGGTGTTGTGCTTTCAAGATACGAGATGGGACAAGAAGGAGAACAATCAGTGTGTTTTTAACATACCAAACTTACCTGCCTGCCTGATTCTGACTTCTGTCTCACTGAATCATCACAGAATGGTTTGGGTTCGAAGGGATCTTAAAGACCATCCAGTTTCATCCCCCTGCCACGGGCAGGGACACCTTCCACTAGACCAGGTTGCTCCAAGCCCCTGTGTCCAGCCTGGCCTTGAACACTGCCAGGGATGGGGCAGCCACAGCTTCTCTGGGCAACCTGTGCCAGCACCTCAGCACCCTCACAGGGAAGAACTTCTTCCTTACATCTAACCTAAATCTCTCCTCTTTCAGTTTAAAGCCATAGAATCTCCCTTGTCCTGTCCCTATATGCCCTTGTAAAAAGCTCCTCTCCAGATTTCTTATAGGCCACCTTTAAGTACTGGGAGCTGCTCTAAGATCTCCCCTGAGCCTTTTCTTCTCCAGGCTGAACAAGCCGAATTCTCAGCCTGTCTCCAAAGGAGAGGTGCTTCAGCCCTCTGATCATCATCTCCTAATGTACTTTCCAAAAATACACCATTTAATGGCCTCATACATGGATATTCTTTTGCCTTCCTGACATTTTTTTCCTATAGCACTGACAAATGTTATTCAGAGGTTCATTTACAAGCAAACAAAGAATTGGCACGAAGACTCAAGTCACACTTCTTCAAAAAGCTGCAGCTCCCCCCATGGTGTATTTTTTCCGTTCTGTGTCATTGTTTCGAGATATGTCTTTAGGCACCAGCAACTTCTGATAGTTTGCACATTGTCTCCAAAGAATTAACTGCAGGGAAAACTCAGCCCAAAGAGTTACACAGGGCACTCAGAAAATAATCCAGAGAAGCCATCTGTAAATAGCTATTGTTTGGGAATATTCTACAGCTACAACCAGAGAACTGATCTCCACTGGTTTGAGGAGAAAGAGCAAGAGAAGGCACCACAACACACTGATGCATGGGCAAGGTCAGCAAACAGGCAACACCTTCTGCTACATTAATCAGAAACCTTACTAACACATAAACCAAAATCACAGCCCTGTCCTCCTCTACACCTATTTCTGGCCAAAATGGAGGAAGCTGTTGCGCTCTCAGCAACTGTTGTGATACTGCTTGATGTAGGATTTGCCTTCCTGCAGTCTCTCTTACTGCTTCCACTAAAAGGCTGGATTTTTAGATAAAAAAGGCAAAAAACCTCTCGTTAGAGCTTCTCCTAGGAAGAAACCAAATATGCCCAAGACAATTTGTGACAAAAAGATACAGCTCCAGGGCCCTATTGTGTCCCCTCTAAAGTTTCTAAATACATATCTCAGGGTTTTTTAAACTATTAAAAAAAAGTGCTAAAATTAATTAACAGCCTGGGTATGAATTAACCCACTAAGTTAAGTGTTAGGGAGTTTGTCTTTGCTGAACCACTGCCTGGTGTTACACATAATAAAAAGCCCCCTTGGCTCTTTAAGCAACAAGTCTGGTTTTGTCAATGCACAGCTTACAGTGAGCACAAACTCCAGGTTGGAGCTCACAGCAATTACACACGTTGGACAATCTGGTTTGCAACACAATGGAAAAAGGAAAAGCCTTCAATAAACGGAACAGAGCCACAACTCCCAAGACTTCAGAAGACTCCGTATACATCAGAAAGCAAACCCCAGCAAGGCACAAGTCTGACATCTTCAATACCACCCTCTTGCCAATGTGTCCCTTTCTCCTCCCCTGCTTTCTAATCCAATTAATTCCAAGTCAGAACATCAACTAAGTCCCACTCCTCAGAGGAGGTCCCCCTCTGTGCTGCCCTCCATGGCCCTGGTCTAACCACAGCTCACACCAGCGAGCAAAAGCAGTGTAAGACACTTGGAGCTCCCACTGGACAAGCAGGGAGGACTGTAATGGCAAGGGAAACCAGCCCGTCTCCCAGAGAGCTGCAGTGTTCTCATCTTACCGTGTAAAATACAAGTCCTTAGTTACTGCACATTAACTGTGCCCCAGCAGCAATGTATTTTAATCTTTAAGCAAAACCAGGTCCCTGCTTTCAATCACAAAGTTGAGCGTGGTACTGTTCTCATCAACAGCTCACCATGCCCAGTGCAGTCTGTACCGCAAAATGGCATTTTAGGGCAGCCTGGGTGCCCAGAGAGGCTGATTTGTGGAAATCCTTTAGAAAGAAAAGCTTAGCCTACAATATCCACCCTGGAAAAAGGGCATAGTGCAAGACTGCAAGTGACTGCTCTGCCCACATACTCATGTTTCTCTTCTCTAGAGAATCCAGGCACAATCCAGTCAATTCAATTTCTTAAAGTTGCAAACCCAGCCCCCAAATTGTTCTTTACACCCTTAAAAATACTCTCAAACAGCTGTCATCTGAGATATGGGAGACGAGAATCTTCAGTCTCCAATACAAAGCAGACACACACATACAAGCCTTCAGTGCTGGTTACTTCTGGGTGAAGAGTACTCAGAGAAGGTCAAATGCTGTACCACCAAGACAGACAAGAGCACATCAAAGCTACAAATCATCCTCAAGAGCAGTCAAGTGAGTTCCCAGCAAGTAACTTGAGATCCCGAGGCAGCTTTGAGATGGTTTTGCACATAGTTACAGCCTTCAGCACCCGCAGGACTGCCTGGGTGAGGGGGCCAGAATGCCAGTGGATGGGCATGAGGACTGTCATAAGATGTCTGTCAACATCTTAAGTACTGTTAAGGAGGACCTGTGCCTTCAAAGGAGAGAAAATCCTGGGGTGACCTGTTAAACTTTTGCTAGTGCAGTGGAATTTGAAAAGCAAAACTATCCCCGAACCCTATAGATATATTGGAAACTACAGAAACCCATCTAGACTTTAATTTTCATAAGAAATCAATTTAAGATACTTCTAAACTAGTATCAATTTAAATCAGATGATACCCTAAATCTCAAATCACAGATATCCTACTGTTCCATGCCAATGGTACTCTTTCTCCTCAGCCAGCTTTTTTTAATGAGCTGCTCAGCCTCAAGTACACCATGTGCTTTGGTGAAGGGGGAAAAGTACTTTCAGGCAGAAAAATTTAAGGAAATGCTAAACCAGAAACCTACATGGAATGAATTGGGCCATGGAAGGTTTGAGGAGCTAGTATAACATGAAACTGGATCTGCACTCCTGGCTAGAAGAAAACTGTTGTTAGAATTACAGTCAACTCTTTAGCACTTTTTCCACTGCTGTAATGTAAACACTTTGTTGTATGTCTGGGCTGAGTTTGTTGAGGTATGGCAAAAGCCACTGCCAAACTCATACATCACTTTTATTGCTCCGGTTACTTAGGTTGCTCATTACTTACTCTCACAAACAATTGAGGAAGAAGATGGCAGTGCAGAAGGGCACTCTCAAATCTTGAACAGGAGGAACCAATTATTAACCTGGGACCAGATCAGGACGGGACAGAGAAGTTCAGACTGGCAGTACCTGGTTTCATGGACGCACGGGCACTTGCTGCGCAGGGCCCCTTGCACTGCAGTAGTCATGAAGCCACTACACTGCGGAGAGCTTGCCGCCCCCTGCAAGGGGGAAAAGATGCCAAGGATGGTTTGGGAGGATTTCTTGGTTTAGACTTCAACACTCATATATGTTTTTGTATCTGCTGGCTCTTCCTCCTGAAGTTTTCTTTCTGAGTCCAGTTCCTTTTTGCTCAACTTGCAAGCTCTGGCTTGCTCCTTTCTTTCAATCAAATTCCCTTCTTTTTCCTCTCACATCAATGTCCTCCCTCCCTAAGCTCTGCTGAGTCTCACTGCTCTTAGATCAGCCTTCCTGGAGTTTGCCCCACCTGACCGGCACAGGACCCTCATCCCACTGCCTGCCACAAAGACAAGCCCAATGCCTCAACGCCTCTGCATTCTTAGATAGAAGGTGCCATTTCTCCTCTTGCCATGGCCTAAAAGCAGTCGTGCACATAAGCTCCATCTTGGATGCACGGAAATCTATTGCTCTTTTATTATTTTATTTGCACAAACTAGAAAAATTATGACAGGTATTTTTTTTTTATTAATGTATCTGTCCATTTCGTATCAAACTTCAGTTGCTCTTTGAAAGAAGTTAACATACATCATATACACACTTTGAATGTTCTTCTCCAGAGCTAGAGACCAACTGGCACACATAGGTGTCACTGAATAAAAGGAAAACTAACTGCCATGTTCATAAATCTGTACTTTAGCCTGGTGAGTGTACTCCATGGAAACAAGTACAAGACATTTGGGGCCCTTTGAATTATGTAGATGATTTTCTAAAAATCAAATTTAAGGCATTAAATACAAATCATATTAAGAAAAAAAAAATCCACAAATGGCAACTATAAAATATTTACATTTGTTCTCTAGGTCAGTAACCATAATTAGAGAAGAAGAAAGAAAGCTTCAGGTATTAGTTCAAAGGCTTCTGTTTTAAGCTTCCAGAAGTCAGTGTGCTCCTGCTTCATTTTGCTGTTTCTGACGATCCCACAAACACATTTACATATCATTTAAAAAAAGTTGGGTTTTTTACCCCCAGAACCTTCAGCTCCTCAAGAAAACCTATGCCGTGCTATAAAGAGTAACAATATGTATTGTAAGAAAGCAATTCTATTTCTTCAAAAAATAAAGTTCCCAAAGAACTAGATGTTTATGACTCACTTCTACTGCATTGCCTATGGGAAAGCATCAAGAGATAGCAGCTGGGCAGGAGGCCAGTAGGGTCTTCTGATACTCATCTGGGCTTGTTCTTGTTACAGTTTCCATTGTCTGCCCCAGCCCATTCCTTGGGCGTATTTGTTGTTCTCATTCTTGTCTTATTTACCTTTCCGTAATGACTTTTCAGTGCAGAGGCCATCTTTTATCCTTGTACATTGTTTGCAAAAAGGAGCCCCATCCCTACTGGGTCCTTTAAGCAGTACTGTAATACAAATAACATCTCTAAAAATAACACTTCTGCTTCTTAAACGTACGTCACCTAAGGCCAGACAAAAGAAAACTGTGTATATCCTCCTTTCCTCCTTGCTCCCTGAAGGAATGCATCCTTTCTCAGCCGTAAAGTGAGCCTGGCAATTACTGTATGTGCATGTCCGTGTTCCTGTTTGGAGCACTGTAATTGTTTTACAGCCCTGACTGTGATTATCCAGTACCCACCACAAAATCCCAATGCTTTGATCACAGGACTCCCTACCCGGACTCCACAAATAATTCACCAGAGGAGGGGGTTAAGCAGAAGGACGATGAAGAGGAAACCAGAAACACAGCTGACACAAAGCTAAAAGGAAGGAAACAAAGATAAAAATGTAAAAAGAAAAAAATCAGGTAGAAAAGAAAAAAGGGAGGAAACAGAGCCCACAGAAAAGAGAAATGAGGGGAGGCAGAGTTTAAGGAAATGTGTTTTCCTATCTGGACTAAACAGAGGTGAGTCTCTTAGAAAAATGTCGTACTTTTTTTTATTTGCTGCTGCTCTCTGTCTGTCAGCCTCTCTATGGGTCATTAATTTGTCCCCTGTCCAACTGTTCTAACATTAATAGTGTACAAGATACTTAGACAGTCCTCATGCATTTGAGATGAAGGTAGTGAGATAGCAGAAGCAGGCAGAAACAGCTTGCTTATTTGGGCAATAAAAAGACAGAGGGCTGGCAGTCAAACAGAGAACAGACAGGATATAGCAAATTACAGGGTTCTCCTTCCAGCCTCTGCCATTAAGTGAATGTTTTCTGCAACGCATAGATGCCCTGTGGGCACTGTGACTTCTAACAATCACCATGGCTTGTTTGCTTCCTGAGCTAGGGATTTAGCTTTTATACTATACCCTTCATCTGGCACATCTTCTGCCACACACGAGAGAAGTATTAATCTTAAATAATGTGTGTATAACTGCAAACTAACACTTGCAAATTGTCTGAAAGCATCTTTCCCTCTGCCCTGCCCCTAGAGATGGCATTCAGTTTTTCCTGTCACTAAAGAGAGGAATAACCATGACATAGTTCAGGCTCATGTCTGCAAAAAAGACTTGTATGTCACTAAGAAATAAGCAAGCACACTGCTTATTTGCTCATGTTTTAAGAAAGTATTGTCAGTATTAACTGATCTGTGTAGGAACCTGAGTCTTGATTTGCTGTACAGGAGCTGCCACAGTCCTGAACAGCTGCAGCATCACTGAAGCACGTTTTTATCCTCTACACTGTTTCATGCACAGTTTATTCATTCTTGTCACAACTGTTTTATCTCGAATATTACTGGTATTCCTATATGTCTCTTTCATATTTCTGTTCTCTTTTAAGTCCCTACTTGTCAGTTATTTAAAGGAGAAGCCATAAAGTAAAACTAATATAAACCCAACTCAACCCCCACTGCCTTTTCTAGGGTATAGGTCAGTGGTTGAACTTTCCAGTAGTTCCTGCAAAAACTTCAGAAAATGAGCTAGAAGAACTGTGCCAACACATTATTTCTGTTCCCAAATGTCAATGGCTGTAGAATACCATACTGAAGTCCAAGCTGTTCAATAGTTTCATCTGTCTCTGCAGTGGTTCACGTGAAGCAATACTACTGTCCTCACAACAGCTCAACATGTCCTATTCTGGCCAGCTCAAGATTCAAAGTTAAAGATGTTTCACTCCCATAAACAGAAAAAAATTTCTCATGTTGGAGAGTAATTAAACAAAGGGGGAGGAGAACTGTTTCCCAGCATGTCACGCAGAGGGATGGATGCAAGCCCTGAACGTGAGGCAGCTCTGCAGACACAGGGCTTGGACCCGGGACACAGTAACGATGGAATTTCTCTGAGGCTCTGTCTTCCCAAGGTGACCTCTGACTTGCAAAACATTAACCACCACCTTCTGCACATCACCTTTACCAGGAAAAGTACCCTGGGCACAGCCTCACTAAAGGAGAGACAACATCTCTAGCAGTTAAGCAGAAGAAATTAATTCTGGCACTGATGGGCAGAAGCTCTTTATTTAGTGTCTGTGAAAGAGACCCCAGAGATTATTTCACTGGTAGTACCTCCTGCATTCTGCAGTTAACGTGTCTAACTAATAGCAAGCTAGTTAAAATGTTAAAAGCAAGACAGTCACTATATATAATGTCTCTTGACATTATATACAGGGATACAGAAGGCCACACATCCTTTGTAAAACTGGTATTTTGGCTGTGCTTGAGAGGAAACCAATAAATAAGTACTCTGCTAAAATACCACAAACATGAATGTGAAAATTCTATCAAACAAGAAAGGTACAAAGAGATTTTAGAGGCTTTCCCCCCCTCCTCACTACACCAGCAGGAAATAAGGTAGGTCTGCACTACTGCTTACCTTATATCTTTTTTTACATCCAGGAACAGGACAGGCAAAAGGTTTCTCATCCCCTCCATTCATGCACATAGAACTAAGGATAGCTTCAGAGCTGATAGCACTTTCTGTAGTCCAGGACTCATCACTGTCTGATTCTTCATAGTCTACTTCCTCTTCATCATATTCACTACCTAGAAAAGTACAGTAGTGAGATAAAACAAGAATAAATAAGAGCACAGCAAGATAACACATTCTGCATTTATTACATCAGTTACAATGACTTGTAATTTCCCCACTTCTGTCTTTGCTGGAAGACAGTTATTTTTAATTTTATAAACCTATCTTTCTTATAGCTATTTATTCCTTCATAAAGACACCACTGGTTCTTTTTCTAATAACCAGGACGGGCATTATTAATATATTGTCATAAACTGTTAACTGCATGGCACAGGAAGTTCAAAGGACTGATTTTAAAATGCAGTTTCATTCCTCCTCGAACACCAGGATCCTTCTGCCTTTCCCAGTGCCTGAACAGAATATGTGGTTTCCCCCCCTGCAATTAAAGCTAATTTTAAGGCTTTTCTTTATGCAATACGACACTGAAGAGCGTAATTCTACAGATCATAAACAGTGTAAAATAATATGTTGACAAGTCCTAATGCATTTACTAGCCCTTTGGAATTAATAGGAATTATAGCACAACATTAATAAGAATTATATTGTAGCAATTATAGTTGTGAAATTCATTCCCTCAGGTGTGGGGATAAATTGCATTGTGTGGCTGCCCTGAACAGACCGCATTATGTTCCAGATATGCTACGACAGCCATTTGAGCAGCTGGTGCTGAGTTTATTTATTATTTTTAATTGCAATAACTATTAATGAAATCCTCTGAAGAAGTTAAACATGAAACAAGAGAAATTAGGAAAGCAGAATTCCAACTATAAAAATGCCGTTTTAAATAAATAATAATTTAAAAAAGAAGCCGGGGAGGGAAGAGCCCCAGCTGATTAAAAAGAAAATATATGCACAGAGGGAGGGAGAGGGAAAGCTGAGAGAAACTTCTGTGGTGTCAGCAGGAGGTGGTGCTGTGTTTCCCCTCCCCTTCCCGTTCCCAGCTCTGCTAAATTTTATCCTTTCTGCTGAAAGCTGATTTGGCTTCGAGTGCTGGAATAGCTCCAGTTATTAAAGACAGTTAAGTGACACTTGCATGGCTCTATTTGCTTCCCTCATATGCCCTTTAAATGCATGCCTCCAGGCAGCTCTACACGCCGAGAAGAAAATGCAGACAGATGCCTTGTGGCACTTTAAAAAAGGAAACATCCCGACCTCACAGAGAAAACCCATGCTGCAACGTACAGTGGGGTCTTTGGGTTTTTTTCCTTCTGGTGAAGCTAAATACACACCTATGGTCTCAATTTTTAGCCCTTTGGATTTACCCTCCCCCAGTACTCTCATTCAGGCTCGGCACCTCTCCACCATTGAGTAGAAACGCATGTCAACTGGTAGCTGCAAGTATTCAGGGCTTGTGAGCTTTTATCAGACACTGTAAGTTTGCTTACAGATGTCAGGCTATCCACGTTTCTTTCCTGTGGTTTCCATCCATACAGGGTGGTGTGCAGATGAGGAAAGATGGATGGTTTCTCACCATCAACAATGGTCGACATGTGCACACTCGCACATGCTCTGCAGCACATCTGCAGAACTCTGCCTTGCCGACTGTGCCTCCACATCCCGCACCCAATGAGTGAAAGCCAAAGAAAGCATTATTGAACTCTTAAAAGATTCCTGAACTCTAGGAACAGTTAACCTAAAATGAAGTTAAGAGTTGTTATAGTTTAATTAACTAATAAAAAAATGGAGGCAAAACCACAACTCTGCTTCTACGATTTCCTGCCCTTGATTGTATCTTGATGGAAAAAATTCCTCAAGCTGTTCCTTTCAAACTTTCTAGCTCAGTAGGGTTTTCTTAAGCAAATGCAACAGAAAACCCTATTGTAAATACACGTATGCACTCCTAGGATAAGAAAATATACATCAATTCTAAACACCGACACCAACGATTTCTGCCATTGTAATCACCCCCTTATAAGCCCCCTTCAGAGGGGGATGATTTCCTCTCTAATAGGATTTTGTCTGCCTAAAGAAAACATCACGTGAGACTGTATGACATCCACTAAAGGTATCACTACTTTTAGTGGTAACAAGGAGCATGCTTTTATAAAGCAACAATCAGAGCTCTGTAAAACGTAATATGCAATATAGTATATAAGGGAAAAGATACACAGTACAGTGCGACAATGAAACAAACACTGCAGTGATACATTTCCATAGATTTTCCTGTACATCCTTTGAATTTTTCAAATAACTATGTATAATAAGACCCAATTCTATAACAACTTTTGCGTGTACTTTACTTGCAGGTAGACTCACTGAAGGGGAGAAACAGCAGAGACCAAAACACATGTGTAAGTATCTGTGAGGTCAGACAAGCCTCATAGTTTTCTTTCAATTAGCCTACCTGCGCAAAAATACAAGATTTTGTCTACTGTAGTCAAAAGAGTTGTTACAACAGTATAAGCAAATGCTCCATTGTCTTAAATTTCTGAATCCAGACTTGTCACTACAGATTTTATATATGATGAGCTTTTTCAAGCATGAGTAGACATATAAAATGTATTTCTTCTTGCACAAAATGGTAATACTAATGGTGCCAAGTACCTGAAAGGCACATTAATTTATACAAAGCTGGAACTGCAGTCTACCACTGTTCTTATCTGACAGCAGTTTATCTGTCTAAATGTAGTTAAGAGGGTCCTGGTGTAAACAAAATGTAAAAAACCTCAATATCTTCTGGAAAAAAAATTAGCAATAAATATCTATCCTTTCAGTAACTATGTTGTTTCAGTTGTCACAGAAAAACAACACTGATTTAGTCAGGCTTTTAAATGATTCCGCCTCAGAATTTAATTTCCTCAGTTGTCAGTGTCTAAGAGCAGCAACCCATGTGGTGCCTCACTGATTGCATGCAACACATCAGAGTGGGGGGGAACCAAAAAGCACAACACACAGGTTGGCGCTGCCATAATAAACAGCCCCTGGACGAGGTATTTAATTAAGCACTTTGAGGCTGAGGACCCTGGCTCTGTGGCGCGGTTCCCACGCCGAGCAGGAGCCCCTGGCCGTCAGCACACATCAGGTGTGCAAACTGCAACCCGAGGCACCGGCTGCCGCGGGCTCCTTCGGGCAGCTTGCCAGGGCACCAGCAGTGCACCGAAGGGGAAGCACACAGCAGCGTGATTTGATCAAGATGCAGCTTGCTTTTTCTGGTTCATTTAACCTTGGTTGGTGTTTCACAATAATAACTGTAAATATTCACTTTTTAAAAGGAAAAATAAAAATTAAGCACCTTTGCATCTAATCTACAGCCTGTTCCAGGGAGTAACAACTGCGTGACTTGGAGAAGTAGTTGCAATAACTCTGAAGAGAGCTCCAAGGGAGCTGGCTCACTGATCTCTGCCTGGACGTTGCCATGCACATGGAAAACAGGATGCTCTGCTGGGGCACGCTGCCCTTCTGGGGGACTGAGTGGAGCCAGTCCTTGTAGCACGTGTGCTAATGGCTTTACCATTTCTTGTAATGCTTGGAAGGCTTCCCCCCATCAGTACTCAAAGGAAAAATATCAGAATTAGGATTCAGAAGTCTGAATAGCAAAAAAAAAAAAAAAATTCCACTGAACTCTACAACACACATTTCTCTAAGATGGAAGTGTCTAAATATCTGGAGGGGAAAGGCTGATAGAGAAGCACATGCTTTCAGCAAGACAGTGTACAAATACACAGTATTATTACTGTAACTGAATACTAGTTCTACAATAGCAAGAAAAATGCCTTCTCCACCTCTCTGCTCTGCCAGTGGTCTTTCTGAGGCTCCTTGCTAGCTTGTTGCTTTGTACCATATCCAGTTTCATCATCTGGCTTTCATTCAGAGACCCTACATAGTTCTACCTCAGCCTAACCTAAACCCACTGCTTTATTATCCAAATGACTCAGTAACATCTTCCTAACACTGCTCCCGCCCTCGCCTACAATATTCCCTCAGTCCTGGCCCACAAAACCATTTCCCCTCTCTTCACTCCAGAGGCCTTGCCAAAAAGCTCACTTCATCTGTGGTGCCCCCAGCAGCATAAAACATGAAACAAATCAAAACAGGGGCAAGGAAAGAATGCTAGTTTTTTGGTTTTGTTTTCCTGGAATTTTCCATGCTAACTTAACACTACTGCTCCTCAAAGAGGAGCTGGACTCCACTGACGGAGCATGGACTTGAGGTGGACACCAGCAGGCAAACCTTGCACAGTATGCCACATCAGAGTCAGGTATTACTGGCAATTACTAGTTATGAAACATACAGGGTCACAGAGTATTCTGGCAAGTTATTTCTCTCTTAATTTTTATGCAGCATTTAAACACAACCCATCACAAAGGAGAGAGCTGTCTGCATCACAGCAGTTTATTTGCCAAAAGTAAACACATGCACGAAAAGGGATTATGATTACTGCCCATGTGCTAAGCCTTTGTAGTGTGATGAAAAGCAAAGTTGCACCATGAAGACTTGCTCCGACTCTTCTTCCAGTCAGTTTTGCTATCAAAATCAGCAAGAATATCACTTAAACCTCCAGCAAAGATCGCTCCTCTTGAATGCCCATCTACTATTTTTTCTTTTTCCAGTAGATAAAGTCAGTAAATAAATCAGAAACATTTTGCAGAGTTAAACATCTGACAATCTGGCATTGACAACATCCCAGCTACACTGCTGAAAATCTGGAGCCTTATCTTTTACGTTTCTGGGGATTATTCACTATTCACACCACTGAAGCCAAGATAAATTCTGTCTTTTGCGTGAGTGAATTAATTCCACCATGAGATTTACACAAAGGATTTTTTCCTTCAACCAGCAGGTGCATATCACTTGTAGTTATGTCTTGAAATATAAAAAAGACCAAGCCGACTAAACCCAGCACAATCTGTGTGTGTCATTGCAATAAATCTGATCTATCTTGACCTCTGACCAAGAACATTACAAGTTCTTCCTTTCTCCTCCCATGAAGAAAAACAAACCCGAAACATCCTTGCCAATTATTTTTGTGACCAGAAAGCATACATTAAGTATACAATGAATAACTACGAGTAAA